CCGAGTCCTGCATTTTGGTCACAGTAACTCCAAGCAACGTTACAGTCTTGGGGAAGCTTGGCTGGAAAGCAGCTGGTGGAAAAGGATCTGGGAGTACTGGTGGACAGCCAGCTGAACATGAGCCAGCAGTGTGCCCAGGTCGCCAAGAAGGCCAATGGCATCCTGGCCTTTACCAAAAATGGTGTCTGCAGCATGAGCAGGGAAGTGATCTTGTCCCTGTACTCAGCTCTGGTGAGGACACAGCTTGAGTACCGTGTTCAGTTTTGGGTGCCACAGTATAAGAAAGACATTGAGGTCCTTGAGCTTGTCCAAAGAGCATCAAGGCTGGTGAAGGGTTTGGAAGGCATGTCATATGAGGTGAGGCTGAGGGAACTGGTGTTCTTTCTTCTGATGAAGAGAAAGCTCAGGGGAGATCTTATTGCTCTCTACAACTACCTAGGGTGGTGGTAGAGAGGCCAGTGCTGGTCTCTTCTCCCAGGTAACTAGTGATAGGATGAGAAGAAATGGGTTCAAGTTGTGCCAGGGGAGGTTTAGGTTGGATATTAGGAAACATTTCTTTACTGAAAAGAGTGGTGAGGCATTGGAATGGGCTGCCTAGGGAGGTGTCCCTGGAGGTGTTCAAGAAGCATTTAGATGTGGCACTTCAGGATATAGTTTAGTGGTTGTGATAGCTAGATTACAGTTGCACTCAATGATATTGAAAGTCTCTTTCTACCTTAATGGTTCTATGATTTATGGATGTCTAGATTGCTTAATTGATTCCTAACCCAGTCCTCACCAACGAAGGCAAACTCCTCCTTTATCTGAACTTTCTCTAGAGCCTCAGGCATCTGGGGCTCTTGGGTACAGTCTCCAGCAGTATAGACAGAGACAAAAAATGGCATTAAATGGCTCTACCTTCTTTGTATCCTCTGTCACCAGGACAACCACCTCATTCAGCTGTGGGCCTATATTGTCTCTAGCGTTAGCTTTGTCTGCAAGGTATTTGAAAAAGCCCTTTCTGCTGTCCTGCCCTCTCTTGCAAGGCTTAATTCCAAGGAGGCCTTAGCTTTCCAAGTTGCCTCCCTACATCCTCTGACAATAGTCTTACATATTCCTCCTGAGTGGCCAGCCCTCCCTCCCATGATTTGTAGACTCTCTTCTTCCACTTGAGTTTGGCCAGCAGTTCCTTCTTTAACCATGCGGGGTTCCTGGCTCCCTTTCCTGAAAGCCATGTAGATGAGTCAGTTCAGGACATGCTCTATGGGGCTTATATTTTGGGGTTGGTTTTTGGTTGTTTTGGTTTTTAGGGTGAGGACTGGAGGGAGTTCACAGTTGGATGCAATGATCTTAGAGGACTTTTCCAACCATGATAGTTCTGCAGTTCTGTGATTCTGGCTTGACTTCATCACTGGCTTGTCAGTCTGGACCTGCTGGACACTCACTGGATGTGACTCCGACCTACGCAGTGACTTCCTAGCATGCCATTGTCCCTTTCTCACTGTACTGACAGTGCCTCATGCTGTAGACAGTTGCTTGGAGAGGGGCACCGTGGCTGTGTGTGCCCTGGTTAGGTGATGTGGGCCTAAGGGGTTGTGGACCATGGGGATCTAAGGCAAACCTTTCCAATTATATGTTCAGGATAGCCTTTTAATTATTCTGGTGGTTCCATCCCTGGCTTGGGACCGGCTTGCTTCTGTCTTGTCTCTTTTGTTTAGAAGGGACTTTTACAGGACTTTCTGCAACACTCTCTGTGTCTGTCTCTGCATTGGCTGATTCATGTTCATGCACCACTCACTGCTTGCTGTATCCTTCACATCAGGCTTGAACCATCATGATCACTGTCAGAATCCACCACTCTTCTTTTTGCTTTTATAGAACTTTCCTGCACATTACTCTCTTATTACTCTTCACACCCTCCTCACTAGTGCAGTCACCACTGTTGCCTGATGCCCTTTCACTCATTTCCAATTATTCCTCCTTGGTATCTGATGGTTCATGACCTACTGCCAATTAAAGCTGCTTAGTTTTATGTTTACCCACTGCATCATCTGCTAGCACCACTGCTCTTTTAATCGCAGGCGTTTTGCTGTAAAACATACCTCCCTTCAGTGTCTCCTCATCTGAGGAACCTGACATTACTCATTATGAGGCTCCAAGCCTCGTAAAGACTGTCAATCAGTGAAAGCCTGCAGACTTCAGCGGGTACTAACATCCCAGTTGAGCCACTATAAACAGGAGACCAGCCTGTCTCATGAGTGTGGATTTGCCACTCATATTTGGGCCAGTTACTAACACACGGGGAGCTTTGCTACCACTGTCTTCATCTTTGCTGCCCAGCACAATGTCATTAGGAATAAAATCATCCCCAAAGAAAGTTTTTGTCATGCACGGGTGGCATGAATTTTTAAGTTCCAGGAAGGGAGGAGCACCATCCACAGGCAGTAGAATTACAGGTCAGCACAGTGGTCCATCACTATCTTGACTGTAGTTAGCAGGAGATATCAAGACATCTAACACAGCAATGCATTCCACAGCTGTCTGCCAGTCTTTGCTACTTTTATCAAAGTTGTAAAACAAATGCCTCCTACAGTCTTTCAGTGCTGCATCCCTGCGCTCTTCAGCATTGCTGACTGCAGCCAGCATCTCCTCAATCTCTGTGGTCCAGTTGCACTTATATCCCTTCCTGCTTGATTTCAACTTCTATTCCTCAAGCAAATTACATGACACAGCTGACTTAACAAGAGCCAGCAGTGTACCCAGGTGCCCAAAAGGGTCAACAGCATCCTGGCTTGCATCAGAAATAGTGTGACCAGCAGGAGTAGGGAGGTGATCATGCCCTTGTACTCAGCATTGGTGAGGCCCCAACTCGAGCACTGTGCTCAGTTCTGAGCCCCTCACTAGAAGAAGGATGTAGAGTTGCTGGAACGTGTCCAAAGAAGAGCTACCAAGCTGGTGAAAGGTCTGGAGAATAAGCCCTAAGAGGAGAGATTGAGGGAACTGGGATTGCTTAGTTTGAAGAAGAGGAGGCTGATGGGAGAACTCATCGCTCTCTGCAACTACTTGAAAGGAGGTTGCACAAGGTGGGAGTTGGCCTCTTAAGTGAATAATGACAGGAGGAGAGGAAATGGCCTGAGGCTGCGCCAGGGGAGGCTTGATAATACACTTGACACTTTATTTCAAAGCGGTTGGACATCGGAACAAGCTGCTCAGGGAAGTGGTGGAGTCACCATCCCTGGAAGTGTTTAAAAGAAATGTAGAGATAGCGCTTAGTGACATGATTTAAGCATTGAAGGGGTAAATTAGGTTATGGCAGGCGGATTTAGGTTATGGTTGGACTTGATGACCTTCAAGGTCCCTTCCAACTAGCATGATTCTATGATTCTTCCTCCTGAGGAGGGTGGGGCAGGGCTGAGGGAGTGGTGCAAGAGTGGCATGTTTGGATAAGTGTTTGCTGAGGCCATAGAATCATGAGCTGTCAAGCAGCCCTGGTTCCTTCGATAGCTCAGCTGGCAGAGCGGAGGACTGTAGGGAAAAGTGACCACAAGCAGAGAAATAGTCATCCCACAAGATGGATGGGGCAGTCATGAAAATGAAGTCAGAAAAATATGCTCAGCACCTCCTGCAAGTGGAAGGCTAAGGATCAGAGGTGAGATCAGGCTGGACTGTGCTGCACGGGTGGATCTGATTTGGGTACACCTGGATGGAGGGTGAAACATTTTGGAGGCTGCAAGCTATGTTGTATAGGGTAAGTTATAGCTGTGCCATGGAGTATAAAACAGTGTCAGAGTCCATTCTATTGTCCTTTCATTAGCTCGACTAGTAGAGCAGAGGACTGTAGGCTCCCTTGTTAGTTAGTCTTAGGTTGCTGCTTCAACTCTGGCTTGAAGAAGTGTCCTTTTTGGCTCTAGCCCAGATCCTGCAGCACCTTTCTGGCTCAAGTCAGGAAGTCCACAACAAGGAAGAATTTGTCAGGTCAGAATGGGGCATCTGAAGACAAGATTCTGCTCAATAATCCAGTGGGATTATTGAGCTGCAAAGACTTCAGATGCAGTTGTGTGCTGGACAGGTAGGTCCATGCTCCTGCTTAAACAGGAGGGAGTATGCATCACCAGTGGGGAACAGGTGCAGCACAAGCAGAGATACAGGCCACATCCAGTGAAGGCCAGAAAGGCACAAGGGTGCCTGGCAGGGCAGAGGACCCCTAGTAGAGCCCATGGGATGGGGAATTAGCTCAAGTGGTAGAGCGCTCGCTTAGCATGCGAGAGGCAGCGGGATCGATGCCCGCATTCTCCAATGCTTTTCATGCCTCTTGCCTGGACACGAGGCTCTTGCCTGGGGGACCCTGTCTTCTCGGGGACATGGGATCTTGCTCTGCACCCAGGTAGGGAAGAGTAGGACAACATTCTGGTGTGTAACAAGAGCAGCCCTGGCTGTTTAACAGGCAACCCCTCTCGGCTGAACACAAGCCAAATGCGATCTCACGCATTGTGTCCCACTGTGAGGTGCCCTGCTCTGGAAGGACGTCAATGAAATGCAGCCGCTGCAGTGGAGAGCCACCAAGAAGCTCAGGGAACAGAGGGATTCCCATGTGAGGATGCTCTAAGGACACTGGGCACGTCCATCCTGGAGAAAGAGAACTACCAAGGACTTGCACGTGACCTTCCAGCACTTGGGAGGGGCTGAGAGAGTTGAGGAAATGCTGATTTTTTGTCTAGTGTCTGACCAGAGGCTAAAAGGCAGCTGAGTGAAATTGGATCAGGATCTGTTGCAGCAGGATATGGGAAAGGGTATTTTTGTCCTGAGGAGAGTCCGGCCATAGAAGAGGGTTTGCAAGGCGCTTGTGGAGCTTGTCTTGAGGTTTTCAGGATTCGCTGGTGTGAAGGGTTGTGCAAGGTGGTGTGATGTTGGAGCTGAGGCTGTTTGAAGTGAGATGTTGGGGTGGAGGCATATGATGCATGGGAAGGTGAGTGTGATGATGAGTGTGTGATGGGTGAGGCAGTGGGCAAGGAGCTCTGGTTCCTTTGATAGCTCAGCTGGCAGAGCGGAGGACTGTAGGCTCCCTGGCACAGCCATCCTTAGGTCGCTGGTTCAACTCCGGCTCGAAGGAGTGTCCTTTTGCCGCTGGCCCAGACCCGCTGGCACCTTTTGGCCCTGGCTCCCCTGCAAGGGCTGCCCAGACTTGAGCTCCGGCCTGTGCTGGGGGAGACAACCAGTCAAGGCACTTGTGACTGAGCCCTGGGCAGGGGATGAGGCTCCTGAGCACTGGGCTGGGCAGGGCTCCCCAGCAGCAGCACAGGGAGGGGGTGTTGGGCGCTAGGACAGCGACACCGGTGGGAGGCCCAGTCTTTGGGTGCAGGGTGGCCTGGGTCAGAGGGGGGTGACTGGCAGGGGAGAGGACCCCCAGCACAGCCCATGGGATGGGGAATTAGCTCAAGTGGTAGAGCGCTCGCTTAGCATGCGAGAGGCAGCGGGATCGATGCCCGCATTCTCCAATGCTTTTCATGCCTCTTGCCTGGACACGAGGCTCTTGCCTGGGACCCTGTCTTTTCGGGGACATGGGATCTTGCTCTGCACTCTGGTAGGGAAGAGTAGGACAACATCCTGGGGTGTAACAAGTGCAGCCCTGGCTGTTTAACAGTGTCGTGTTTTTGGGTCCAACACGACAACAAAGGCCCCATGGCCGCTCACTGAGCTCCCCGGCACACACACACTCTGGGATGAGGACAAAGCTCATGGATTGAGACAAGGACAAGGAGGGCTCTTCACTGATTAAGGTCCCAGGCAGAACAGACTCAACTTGGGGAAAAAATAGTAATTCAATTTCACAGTAATCAAAAACACAGGACACAGACAACACAAAGAGCAGGGCTTGCATATGTTACCCCACCCCTCCCTTCTTCCTGGGCCCAAATCACTTTGTTTCCGGTTTCTCTCCGTCCTTCCCCCCAGCGGCACAGGGGGACAGGGGATGGGGTTTAGAGTCAGTTCACAGGCTGGGGGTTCCTGCTGCTCCTGCCTCCTCAGGAAGGATTGCTTACAGTCCTTCCCTGCTTCCCCACGGGGTCACTCTTACAGGAAAGAGTCCTCCATGAACCTCTCCTTCATGAGTCCTTCCCACGAGGTCCGGAGCTGCTCCAGCTTGGGCTTCCCACAGAGTCACGGGCTCCTTCAGGAACAGCCAAATCCCCTGGCACCGGGGTCTTCCGAAGCTCCATAATCAGTCCACAGGCAGCAAATCCTCTGGCCACAAAATCCAAGTCCAGTGGCCAAGTTCATCCCTCCTGGTGGATTCAGGGAATCTTCCACCACGTTCCTCCATGAGTGCATGGGGACAGCTGCCATCTCGCCATGGGTTGCAGGGAAACTTCTGCTTGGGCACCTTCTTCCCCTTCTTCCTCACCAACCACCAGCACCGCTCTCCTTCACCAGCACATCTCCTCCTCCTGCACAGCTCTTTTCCCCTCTCCTTCTCTGCTCAGGTGTTATTTTAGTTCTTTCATATGTTAGTGGCTGAGGCCCCTATACTGTCCTTCTAATGGCTCCTTGGCTGGTTTTGGAGCAGGGGGAGCTTCTCAGCTTCTTACTGGAGCCACTCCTGGGGCCCTTCCCCCACTACCAAAATACCCCACAAAACCAAACCAGAACAAACAGGCAACCTTGTTTTCTCCCTCTTGGCTTAACACAAGCCAAATGTGACCTCACGCACTGTGTCCCACTGTGAGGTGCCCTGCTCACGAAAGATGTCAATGAAATGCAGCTGCTGCAGTGGAGAGCCACCAAGAAGCTCAGGGAATAGAGGGATTCCCATGTGAGGATGCTCTAAGGACACTGGGCATGTTCATCCTGGAGAAGTAGAAACCTTATTTTCTTCTTATTCGTTTAGCAGCAGGTGAGTGGGTGTCTGGGAATGTGATAGCAAGGCTGCTGGAAGCCAAGGCTTTGGGCAAGGGGATAGGGCCTCTAGCAGAGATGGCTGGCTGGGGAATTAGTTCAAATGGCAGAGCACTTGCTTAGCATGTGAGAGGCAGCAGGATCAATACCTTTATGCAACAGTTTTGATTCCATAAGCATGGGTAGGTCATTATCCCTCTTTTTTTCAGTGTCATTCCAGGACACTCAGAGTGCTGCATGGTTTTTCAAGTTAAATTCTAAATCAACAGTTGGTACTCACAGATTTATCAATGTACTTATTTTATGCTAAATAGTCTATCAACCTGGATGTTTTTAAACTTCTGAATAAAGCAACAGTAATACGGTATCTCACTGCATATTACTTGACTGTCTGACTGTAAAGTAGAAGTCTAGGTACAGTTTCATTATTGTGCCAAAAAAAGTTTATAGTTGGGTTGTTGTTTTTTTTTAATTATTGAACAGATCTCCTTTGAAATTCTGCTGATTAGAAGCCTGTTAGCTTTGCTCCTTGATAAATCAGGCTGTGCCAAACTCCAAATAAAAGCTCAGAGAGGTACCTCTGTCATGTTTATTAAAAAGTAAATTTTGCCCTGGGCTGTTGTAGTATGATTAATACTGACTTAATTAATAATGGCAGGAAACTCAGAATCAGATATTGCTGGTTTTATACCTTGTACTAAAGAATACCAGTTGAGTAGCAGATTTTTGGATTAGCATAAATGAAAAGATAATTAAAGCAAATATATGAGACTGACTCATCATTTTATCTTGCAAATATTTACAGCTACTCCATTAAAAGTGAATCCCTCTGACATTTCCACTTTACTTAGAAGCAGCCTTTTTTTTTTTTGCTATAATTACTAATAAAGATGGATAAAGCACCACTGTTAGTTTTACCATAGATCACTCTGTAATTCATCCTTTTTCATGTTCAGCATTAAATATAGTTAATCCCATTCTACATTCTTCCATGACAACTATCTCCTTGAGGGATTAAAGAAGGCCTCCTTTCCATAAACTTAAATGCAAAAGCAACAGCAAAACATGAGGTTTGATACAGAAGATTGTTTCTGCAGCCAGGCTGTATGACAGGGACACATAAGGTGCAAGTCATGAGTGAATTTGATACTGTAGCAAGTTTATTCCCCCAGTGACATAGTTATGCAAGACAACAGAACAATGAGATGTCAGTAGCCTTCCTTCCATTATGTAAAGAGTTTGAACATTCACTACTTCTCCCAGCTCCATTGAATACATGCCTTTAGGAACAGAAGCAAGAGAGAGGCAATTTGCTCAAAAACACAGAGAACAGAGTCCCAACAAGATTCAAATGAAATAATGATGCAAGTAGATCTATTTCATAACGTCTTCTTCAGTTCAAGTATATTCTTGCATTTGATAGGAAAAGGAAACTATGTTAAAGTTTGACAGTGCAACCAACAACACCCAGAAAGATGCTGTAATAAAAGTTTGACTATATTTATTAAACCTGCAAGTACATGTCTGTCATATTCTGTTGTCAAGAACATCTATTACACTCGTGACATTTAAAGTTCTTTCTCTTTTTAATAGCAGTAAAGTAGATTTAAGAGCAAAATGACCCATAAAATCTTTCAGTCTTCTAGGTCTTGTTACACTTCGACAATAAAATACTTTACACCATTTTGATAACTTGTGTTTGAGTAGAACTTATCTTGGAGTCCCTTTTTTAATAGAGAACCTACCATTTCTTGTGCTAGTATGTTTCAGTGGTTGGTTATACTCTCTGTTAAAACCATGTACCTCTTCTTCAGCTTCAATTGCTTTTGGATTCCAAGCATTGGTTTTGGTTACACCTGCCTGTACAAAGCGAAGAACCCTTTTGCGCCCAGCACTTTCCCCCTTCAAAAATATTTCACACTATAATCAGATAATGTGATTATAACTCATCTTCTTTATGACAAGATAAACGGATGAAACTCTTTAAGTCTCTTAGCCCAGTTCTTGAATTCTCAGTATGGCACTTTTCTGCCTTGGCTTTACTTGTCAGCACACTTCAGGAAAAGTTGTTAACACAAGAACTGGGCACAGTATTCAAAGATTACACTTTGCAAGCACAGTCGGCCTTATTTTATCCTAACAGTCTGAGCTGTCATTCAGCTAAATTAAAACATTTTAGATGAAGCACACAGATTGCTTGTGGGATAAAATCAATAGATTCACATTCCGTCATTTCTGATTCTTTTCAGGTTCATGACAGAAAAAAAAAAGCAAGTAACATTGAAAATCCACAGTGCAGGTAACTCTATAGGTTTTACCATCATAATCATGCCAGACACACACAAGCTTTTTTAGACATGTTGTAAAGGACATCTTACATACCTGTAGGACTTCTTAATCTCATCATGCGTTGCTCCCTTCTCTAGGGCCAGGATTTTATACAATGCTTCCCCTGATGTTGACAAAGCACGTTGCCTTTGCTCAGCCATGTTAGCAGTGCATTACCAAAGCTGCCGAAGTAGAACAGAATTTTAAATAGCAGGGTCTGCAAGTATATAAGCATAGTATTTCTTATTGTTCATTTTAATGGATTTTAATCAGGTAGTAAAAGGGTAAAAATACACAAAAGTGAAATTAGAAGAAAATCTCCTTTAAATTATCCTCCATCCCTTAAGAAATTTTAAAATTATGTGAGAAAATGGAAAGGCAAAAAATAAAGAGGAGAAGCTCTTGTGGGAGGTAACACTGCTCATATTAAAGGTTTGATGTTGCTCTCACTGAAATGAATGACTAAATTTCCCACAGCATTAATGCCTGCACACAGCATTTCCACTAACCATTTCTTGCAAACTTATGCATGGGAAATACTGACATTAATCAGGGAGCGATTTTATTTGAGATACAAGACTCTGGGCTGAATGCATAAGCTTGTGATACATTTAACATGGTGCCCTTACAGAATGGAGCAAATAAAGGCTAAGTACAGGCTGAAAGCTTCACTCCACTTCAGACCTCTTGCTCGTTCCTTCTTTCAACACAGAGGCAAAGCAGACAAACCAGTGATTCTCCACTGAGTGGCTCTACTATCTCCTTAAAGTTCAGAGTTCACTCTTCAGGATTTGAAGAACCAAACATTTGTAAACCAGACCTAGCTAATGTTAGGCAATGACATGAAGAAACTCATATAACCCATAATTTGAAACACCAGGTACAGATACCCATCATTCATAAGAGAAAGCTGCAGCTCTTTGATGGCAGACTTGCCACAACAAAACTCTCACCACAACCTCTTTATTTCTTTGCATGTTGCACCCTTCTCCAAATGTTGAGATGTGATCACAGAAAAAAGCCTAAAAGTGAGCTGTAACCCCAGCCATCAGAAACATTTCTGAGAACTTGTTTTGTTAGGTAAGGCTACTCACCCTGCTATTTCAGCCTTCTCATTGCTGAGCTAGAAACACTATCTTGCCATTATTCATATATTATTTACCAGGCCACATTTTGGTTCAGAACCAGCCATGTAACACTTTTAAGGTCTTCAGCTTTGTTCAATACCAAAACCAAAATCAAATAACATGTAATTAAACACAGGTATACAATAAACTGAGCAATTCTGGCACATAGTACCCTATTTATTGGGACAGCTAAGTTTATTCATAATATACTTTGATGCTTTCTTTTTCTAATAAGCTAACAGACAATTTAGGGGCTTGTGATCTGCTGAAAAAAAAATTTCCTTTCTACTTTGAAGTAGCGTACACAAACCATCAACTAAATGGATTGTACTTTTGTTTTTACATTAACAATTAAGAATGAAATAATATCTGATCTTACAGATATTACTTTACCACCTGCAGTAGTTACAATGATACTTTTAATTATGGTATGCCCAGAGCATATTTAATATAATCCTGGAATCTATCCTGATCACACAGGAATCATGCTCGGCACATAAAGCTGTTAATGCAGAAGATAACGGTGGGAAAACACATGAGGTCACAGATATAAAGCATAACACAGAAATTCCATTACATAATCCTGATTAGCTACATAGCAACCTTGAAGAATAAAACAAAATTAAAATTATGATGGATTTCATTATAAAAACTAAAAAGGCATGTGATTTGTACTTTCCCATAAAATAATTGTAATAACCCAGTCAGATATGGAAATTTAAAAACACTAGCCTATGCTGTCTTTTTGTGATTAATCACCCTGGAGGTCCAGCTACTAATTTATTTCTCACATATTTAAAGCAGTCCTATAAAATACTAAAAGCACAATGAGATGACACTTTTCTAGGAAAAAGTTATGCTCACTTTATTAAGGAAGATATAAGTTAAAAATTTAATATTAGATCCATTCCTGATGGCTGAAGTTACGTTAAAAGTTCAGTTTTCAAGTTATGTATTTTTGTTCCAGCGAAACAGAGACGAGAAAATATTATTTCCTTGGACGTCAATAAAATATATTGAAAAACAATCCAAATTCTAACAATTCCACATATTCTAAGAGGATAGGACCCCAGTTAACTTCAGCTTTCTCTGTGCAAAATTTATACTATCCAGGATGAACTATCTTACATAAAGGTTGTAAAAATATGTCTTTTTTTCTACCATACCCATAATCCATTTGGATTTGTGCTGAAAAATAAGGCAAGATGATTTAAATAACATACCTGCATCAAAGAGTGATGGCACACAGTCTGGCATGTATAAACTCACAGCATTATCAGTTCAGTATCTTGATGTCATTATGCCAATATAATCCAAGAAGAAAGAAGCAAGTGCCGGCAGAAGCCCTGTTCCACAGAAAGCAGCTGCTGCTTTTCATTCTTCACAATCCAGGGTAAACAGGTCAGCGGAGTCTGATTACTCTTTTTGTTTGTTTGTCCAGTACCCAATTGGTTATCTCTCAGGAAGACCTATGAAAGAATAAATGAAACATTCATGAGCCTACAGGCTGATGCACCTGAGAGTTAACGACACCAAAAAATATGGGACAGCTGTGTATCTAGTTAGTTGCTCTTCTGTGCTTTACTCTTGATGGTGTCTTGTGTTTTTATTCTTCCCCCATGAATGTATTACATTTGTTTAAAGATGCAACAGTCTTGCTTTAAAGTTCACTTCTTTGAGACCAGTCATGGCTTAGCCTTACTATAGAGTCTCTTCCAGGAGAAGGTAACTGAAGAAAACCCCTTTGGACTCTTCTTGAATTCTTGTACATTTTTATATCAAAACAAAAGATATAGGGTGTCTTCTCTTGCTCTGATGTAGTTTTTCCTCTAACTTATACCATGAAAAAGTCTATAGAATTTCTCAGTTTAGTGGTGAGGGCAAACCACAAACTGGCGAGCAGAACTGCTATTACTGCCCTTCTACCCTCCCAAGGGAAGACACAAGGAAGAGAGACTTAAAGGTTGGAAACTGCAACTGGAACAAGTTTACTGTAACACAGAAAAGGGAGCAACAGGTGGGGGAAAGAACAGATATACAAACTTAAATACAAATATATACAAAACCAACCTCAATGATGGCAGGAATAGGTGGGTGGGGTCCCTTGCAGTAAGGCCACCTCAGGAGAGGGGTCCACTGCTCCTCACTGCACTGGGTAAAGCTGGATTCTGGGGAGCACATGGCAAGTCCAAGGACCACTGAGCAGCACCACCAGCAAGAACGACAGGCACAGGAAACAAGGGGGCTGAACTTTCCGTTCTCCTGGGTTTTATAGGGTATGGCAGGAAGTGGGAGGGAATACTGACCCCTCTCTGTTCCAACCCTCCCGGGTCTTTCAGGGTCCTAAAGAACCCCTCTCAGTAGTCCTTTTTATAGGTGTCAACAACCTGCTGGGTCCACTCTAACCGTAACAGAGAGCCATTCCTTTCTATTTAGAACAGAAAAGACTGGAAATGCCAGAGACTTTAAAAACAAATGGCTCTTGGGATGTCATCCTTGGAACCAAGTAGTTCATCCTTTGAACTCAATAAGTTAATTTCCCAGATCACCCAGTTCCAAATGATACGGTTTTTGAGCCTTAGCTGGCTCCCAGACCCCCACCCAACTGCTCTCCTATTCCTCGTCCTCAACAGGACAGGAGAAGAACACAAGATGAAAAGCTCATGGATCAAGATAGAACAGAGAGATCACTTACCAATTACTGCCATGGGCAAAACAGACTCAACTTGCAGAAAATTAATATATTGCCAATTATAATAGATGTGGATGGTGAGAAACTAAGACAAAAATGGCAGTAACGCTTTCCCCTCCCCACCCTGTTTCCAGGCTCCTCTGGCCCCACCCCTGAACAGTGCAGGGTGAACAGGAAAGGAGGGGTTGTGGCAAGTTCATAACAGCTTCTCTCTGCTGTTCTTCTTTGCACTTTTCTCCTGCTCCAGTGTGGGTCCTTCCCAGAGGCTGCACTCCTTCATACAATGCTCTAGGGTGAGTCTCCTGTCAGGAGAACCTGCCCCTCCATAGGCTTCTCTCCACAGACCACAGTTCCTTCAGGAAATACCTTCTCTGGTGTGGGGTCCTCCATGGGCAACAGTCTGGATGTCTGCTCTGGTGAGGTCCTTGTCATGCACTACAGGGAAATCCCTACTCCACCATGGTCATCTCTCTGAGCTGCAGGGGAATCTCTGCTCCAGTGCCTGGAGCACCTTCTCCTTCTTCTCTGAACTTGGTTTTCACAGGGCTATTTCGCATACTTCTTTTCCCTCACTCCCCACTGCCATGCCAGTGTTTTGCACTTTCTTAAATATGTTTTCCCAGAAGTGCCACCACCTTTGCAGTTGGGCTCACCTGTGTCCTCCAGTGGGTCCAGTGTGGAGCCAGCTATATCCAGCATGAGGCAGTCTCTGACCTCCTCCCACACGGATCCCCCTGCAGCTAAACCCCACTGCTTACATCTTGCCACAGACACCCAGTACAATTTTATGTAGACTAAAGTTTGCAGGTGGATTCATGGAGCCCCATAGGGCAGTAGACTCTATTTTGGCAGGAGTCACTGAGTTTGTACTTGAGTTCTATTGCAAAACTGGAACTATAAATCTGTATTTTAAAAAAAACAAACAACAAAACGAACAAGCATAATTAATTATGATAATATAAAAACACCATTTATGAAAAAGGAAGCAAGAGTGTGACAGCTGATTAAAAAACAGTGTCGAGTGGATGTTTTTTGATGTGAAGCATGTGATTTTAACATTTCTCTTGTTTTTAGGTATATTCTTTAATTTCCAACATCCCCTCAAATTTCAGCTTTGGATGGGGACAAGGAAAGGCACATTTCAACCTAAAATGTGGGAGTTTTTCATAGTTGTGAGAAGTCAAAATAGCATAGTTAAAATATCTTTTCCAGGACAACCACAGAGTAGGCACAGTTAATTCTATTACATTGTATGAACACAATGAACCAGATTCTTCAATCAGCTCTGAAATGATTTTATCACTCTTGCAAAACAAAACCTCCAAAAGTATATGATTTAGCG